CCATGCACACAGGTCGCCCATGGCTGCGGTCCAATCCTGGCCCCAAACCGCCAGATAAATATGCTCCTACATCTAATTGACTTAGCCGAATGCTAGTTTTAGCTTTGTTTACATTTCATGCATTTGCTGGCGCCTAGCGCTTGCATCGATGTAGCCCCCAGTATAGCACATTGCATTACATTATCCATGAAAAGATTATAAAACTTTAATTCACTATAAGCTCAGCAAATTGCAAGGGTAAAGGGCTCATCTGGACGCAGTTTGCATGCCGTGCTGCCGGCTTGCGCAAGAAATCTCTGCGCGTGCTCCACGCCCGCGCGCGCCCCGAGGACCAGGATAATCTACAACAAAATGTCTTTTGCTTCGTGCAAAAATACGTTGGTATGTGTTGGTATGTGTGCCCGGAAAGCTGTGCCGGACGGTCGACCGTCCGGCAGACCGTCCGCCATGGACGGTTCCACCGTCCGCCAGGGGGGGTATATGAACCACACACACGGAATTGCTTCTTGTTTGAAGAGTTCCGTCCGTGGTTGGCCACCAGGGATTGTTACTCTCTTGCTGTAAGGAGTCCTCGTGTCCTTCGTGTACCCAGCAGGCAGGCAGGCTGGAGGACAACGACGATAAAAAAAATCCCTACCTTGCACGTTGCAGGGTCCTCCTGCTGCTGCTAATGAGACGGGAGGTCCCGCCCGTGAGACACTACATTACGACACTATGTGTACGGGGTCCAGCACGGGACCCGTGTTCTTTCAGAATAATTGAATATCCGCAGCCTTTTTGAGTATCATTGCTACCGCTCATTATTGCGCTCGCCAATGATCGGCCAAAAATTTATAATAGTCGTAGTTGCTGTTAGTTCTTTCTGAAAAGCTGTAACTCTTAGGTAAAAAATGATTCTTCCTTTATTTCTAACTCTAAAAAGGTAACCTCTTAGGTAAAAAATGATACTGCCGTACAGTCTCTATAGGGAAGAAGGCCAATGAACAAGGCCCTCAAGTCGTACGGCCTAAAGGGAAATCTATCCGTCGCTGGCTCTGCCAACAATTTGTTTTAAGTATATGACAGCAAGTTTAAGCATATTGATCTTTCGCCTTGTAGCGTGCTTGATGCTGTGTGGTAAAGCACTGTGTTCCGCGTCTGCGTCCATTTTGCCTGCCAAAAGTGGTGAACCAACTTAATCAAATGCAAATTTACAATGCCATAAAAACGAAAATGTAGGTAGTGCTGTTACGCACTTTTTGGCGGCGGCAAGATTTCGCACGGCATCATCGCACGACCGATCTGCGTCGCTGTTCAGCCAGTATTTAGCCCAGTACATAAATAGCATATACTTTGTATTACATATGACTTCTTCTTTTCACAATTTGTAAGGTTAGTTTGGCTTCTTTTCCTTCGCCGTTATCGTTGTGATAGACTGATCCTTGAGTCAATACCTTCATTAAAGCCTTGGACTGCGAGTGAATATAAAGCTAGTAAATGTTGTCATTGTCGGTACAATCGCTGACGTTCAGCATTGTGGTCATGCTCGCCATGACCACGACACACTATGACGACGGGTGATTAACGCGTTAAGTCCGCGTTAGTTCGCGTTAGTTCGCGTAACGGTGCGAATCTTAGCGTTAGGTGCGAATGAGCATGTTTTTGTAACGCAAAGAGCTATGGAGCTAAGAGCTAACGCACAACGGCTATGAAAAAGCGGAAATCGACCCTCCTGGCTAAAACTTTTAAATTTATAATTTTCAGATTGTAAAGGTTCATTTGGAAATAAACTTGTGTCGTTTTGGTCGACTTGAGCAATTCATCCGTGCGTATGTTGAAACGCGAAGCATACGCGCATGTGTAGCAAGGCGATACGCATGCGATTCCATATTGCGATTCGTGTGTGTGGGGAGACAATGCGTAAAGCAATACGCGTCCAATCGCACATCAAACGCATACAGTCCGCAAGGCTATTCACATGCGAATACATGTTGCGTTTCATGCGTATGAAGGCTGATTGCATAAAGCTTAACGCGGCCTAACACACACCAAACGCACACATGTCGCAACGCAATTCGCATGCAGACAAATGTTGCGTTTCAGGCGAATGAAGGCTCGTTGCGTCAAGTTTACTGCGGCCTAACACACCAAACACACACGATTTACTTTGATTAATCACATGACATAACAATTCACACGCGATGTTTTATGTGTTGGTCGCATACTCAGTTCGTGAACCTTCACGCAGTCTCATGAGAGAATAACATGCTTGGCAGCACTCAGGGGGCCCTTCCGCAAACGAGATCGCATCAGGCGCAGCCTAACATCGCACAACGATTCATCATACCATCAATAGATGCCAGAAAGGTGGCGGGACATATGCCGCATGTGAACGCGCACGCAATTAGACCCCCGCTGGCTGTGAGGCAGTTGTGGGGACATGCCTGGGAGGCTGAAAGGGCTTCCGGACGCATAAATCGCATCAGGCACTGTCTTACACCGTGCCAACGATGTATGACGCCATCAACTATTTGCCGAAATGTGACGGGGAAGGCTGCTGGGGAATGGAGCATCCAACATAACATTAACTAGTTGTTAGAAAGGCGGCAGGAATAGGAGCATCCAACACGCACACAATTAAAGCCCCGCCGTGAGATGTGTCGGTGGCTGTGAGGCAGTTGTGGGGACATGCCTGGGAGGCTGAAAGGGCATAAATCGCATCAGGAGCCATCGTACGCCGCAACAACGATGCATCATACCATCAACTAGTTGCCAGAAATGCGGCGGGGAATGCGGCTTGATCAGTCATGCTCGCTAGGCAACCATCATGGGGAAGGGATGTAAGGGTGTCCTCCTCTCGGATGGGTCAAACTACTCCCAGTGGCTCGGCGACTTAGGCGATTTCCTTGCAACATCCAAGTTGAAGACTACATAAACACCCGTCACCTCCGGGCCGCAACGCCCAAGACGCCCTGGAGGAGGACGCACAGGCGCTCGGCTACCTGCATCTGTCCTGTGAACTGCCCATCAAGCAGTTGCTCAGGAATTGCCAGACCACCCTCGCCGCCATGCAGCTCTTACAGCAACAGTTGCGTTCTGCATCCCAGGCCTGGCTGAGCCTGTTGGAGCCGCGGAAGCAGCTGAACATGCGCGATGGGAAGACGACCACTGACTTCGTTCAGCAGGCAGAGCAGCTCCGTAGCAATATAATCGTGGCCGGCGGCCAGTGGGACGAGAGCACGATGCACCACGCCATTCTCCGTGGCCTGCCTCCGCAGTGCACCATCACCGTCGAGTTGACGATGTATCAGCCCAACTTAACGACCCCACAGCTCGTGCTCATGCTGCGTGAGAAGGAGAACAACCCTAAGACCTAAGCAAGCAAGACAAGCCTGGTGGGAGCTGTCGGCCCTGGCCGTGCTGCCAGTGGAATCGGCAGCGCCGCCGGTGCTGCAGGCGCCGTGGGGGCCGGCAACACCTGCCACTACTGCGGACAGCCTGGTCACTACGTTCGCGAGTGTCCCGTTAAGCAGGCGGTCGAGTCCGTCGGCCTTCACCGCAGCAACACATTCAAGCAGCTGCACGCCGCCGGCAACATCAGTTGAGGCAGCTGCAACCGCCACCGTGACGGTGGCGGCAGGGGCACTGGCAGCGGCAATGGCAGTAACAGCAGGGCCGACGGAGCACGTGAATGTGGCCGTGCTCGATGCGGCAACAGCCACCGCAACGGTGGCGACACTGCAGGCGGCAGCAGTGGCAGCGGCTCGGGCAGCAGCAGAAGCAGCCCACGCCAGAGCCGTGCCCCAGTGCTGGTCATCGACCGCAGTGGAAGCAGCTCACGAGTCACCCTCGACTCAGGCTCACCATACCACCTCACGGGTGACCGCTCCCTGCTGCACAACCATGTCCCCGCCGGCGCGCCACGGCTAATGGGGTGGGGCAACATGTCGTGGGAACAGGGAAGCTGCACCTGCATACTCGTGATGGACACAATGTCCGGCTGCACAACATGCTGCACGTCCCCAGCTCGGGCCTCACCCTGACGTCTGTCACCTCGTGAGAGGTCGACAGACCTCATGACACGCGGCTACTCGGTCACGTTCAGCATGGACAAGACGGGCTGCTGGTTCTCATGCATCAGCCTCCTGCACAACAGCCCGTCTATAACCCCATGGAGTGAGCGTGGGCACTATGCATGGACGTGGACCTGCAGGCGCCGACCGACGTCACCGTCAATGCCCTCAGCACCACGGGCGACAGAGCTGGCAGGGGCCAGGCTGCAGGTAGCAGTGCTGGCAGAAGTGCCGCCACCATCACCAGCACCTGTGGCGGCAGCACCGCCGGCAGCCACACCGGTGGAGGCCAACCGAACGGCGACAGCAACGGCAAAGGGCAACCAGGCAACGGCAGCCCCGGGGCCACTGAATGCTCAGTTGCCGAACTTGCGGCAGCACAGCGCCTGCACTGCCAGTACGGTCACCTCGGTTACCGCGTGCTGAAGCAGCTGATCAGCAAGCAGCTGGTGCAGGGGCCACAGGTCACTCCAGCGGCACTATGACAGGCGGTGGAGGCCGTCTGCGAGGCCTGTGTCACCGTGAAGGCCACCGCAACCGCCCACCCCAGCCGCGGCAACCAGCCGTAGCACGCACTGGAGGTCGTACACTCTGACCTGTGCGGGCCCATGCCGACCATGGGCCGAGGGGGTGCACGCTACTTGCTGATGCTGCTGGATGGTGCCACCGGTCTGTCCGCCGTCCGCACGCTGGCCAGCAAGAGCCAATGGGCGAAGTGCTGCAGGACATGGTGACACAGCTGGAGGCCCGCCACCCGAACCACGCACGGGTACACACGCTGCACAGCGACAACGGTGGTGAGTACGTCGCCAAGCAACTGGAGCAGTGGCTGCGCCAGCACGGCACCGCACACACCCACTCGGCGCCGTACACTCCAGAGCAGAACGGAGCGGTGGAGCGACTCAACCACACACTCTTCGACCGTGTGCAGGCGATGCTGCATGACACAGCACTCCCGGTCAGCTACTGGCTGGAGGCTGCACTCTACACCAACCTCCTGTGCAATGTGGCCCCTCTCAGGGCCGGGAGGCCACACCGAGGGAAGCTTATCACGGCGTCCCCCCCGACGTCAGCCACCTCCACACCTTCGGCTGCCTGGCCTACATCCGCATCCCAGCCAGCCAGCAGGACAAACTCAGTCCTCGTGCAAAGGCGGGAACCTACCGCTGACCGGAGCACGGCATGGCCACCCACCGCGTCCTCGTCGAGGGCAAGGTGACCGTGAGCAGCGACGTCACCTTCGATGACGACTGCCACGGCCCGGTTCACAACAGGCGGGCACCCTCTTCGGCACTAGCCCCGCCTGCCCCAGCGGCAGGGACACTATCGGCGGCTCTACACCGCCCGCCATGCTGCCGACCCCAGCGGCTACCCCGCCCCCGGCGACCCCAACAACGCCCCTTCCATCGCAACACCCGCAGTCAATGGCAGTCCCTGCACATGCCGCAGCCCCGGTCAGTGACGGCCTGCCAACCCGACAGCAGCAGCAGTGGCGGCGGCGGAGAGTCGGGAAATCCACCGCTGCTCAGGTGGTAGCGCTGACAGCGCTAAGTCTAACATGCCCGATGGCAGCGGCGGTGGCGGAGGCAACAGTGCGGTGCACACTGCCAACGACATGCTGGTGACGGCGGACAACCTGCAACCTGCCCAGTTTAAATAGGGGGGACTAACGGCTCACCTCGACTGTAATCACAAATTTAGATGCTTAATTCTCCATACTGACATTCTCCTTACACTTCGTCAATTGCTTATACTTTACTGTTGCAACAACTAGCAATGTGTGGGCAATTTGCACTGTACGACCAATGCAAGAAAACAAACCGTTTCAATCATTGGAAAAGGCACACAGACCACATGCTTGCTATTGCCAGCCGATAAAAACTTTCGCCTAAAGCTTTCCAAGAACAAGGGGCAGGAGAGAGGGGAAAGTGCGGGGAAGTGGGGCGGCAGCCCCACGACCCCGCACATCCCCCCCAAGACCACCTGGCCACCGACAGGCAATCATGATAGGAATGAGCGGGAGCCAAGGGAACATTTAAAAGCATGATTACCGTTCTCTTGATAAAACAGCAGACGAGCCAAGGTTTCCGCCCTGGGTGCCCTGGGGCTAGCGCTCGGCATGACGTGGTAATAGGTCTCTTGCAAGGAAGCGAGGGTTAAGTTACCCGCCCCCCCCTCGGTTAAGTTAAACCCCCGCATGGGTGCTTGGAAGAGCCTTCACGCACTGGGCGATGATCCTAACACTCCCATAGTCTCCAAACACATCCAACAAACCTTACCTTTGGCAAACAAAAGCGAGCCTGCGGGAACTTCTTCCTTCCTTCCTTCCTTCTACTCCTTACGCACCGATCACCTTTGCAACCTACCCTCATCATGTGGCCGACACTAGGCAGGCGGTGGCCCTCGGCGCTCATGAACCCCAACTCCTTGGTGAGAGAGGATTCGGGGGAGCTATACGCACCGCGTGTGGTGCGGGACCTTCCACATCCATTGCTTCTTCCCAAGTCCCTTCCCCCAAATCCTCACAGCACAACCTTTTCAATTCAATGCTCTGTGCGCGCGCTTCAGGAGTAAAGAAAGAGGGGTTAAGAGAGACTCAACAGGTGGCTTGCACACGGCTGCCACCTTCACTGAAGGTTCAGGAAGGGGACACTGACCAGGTCCGAGATTACACGCACATCGTCCAGGTACACCGCACTAAAACGCTCTGGAGCATATCGACTGACTAATTGGGTTCCGAAGCGGATTTCCCCTTAGCTAACCTTCGCCTGCTTCGCCCAGAGCACGGCCCTTATCAATAGGTCCGCCCTCGCTCCCCACTCCACAGCGTCCGCCTCAAGCCCCGAGTTGGGTCCTACCTACCGCGGCCTTGCAAGCCGCACACTGAAGCTACACCAGCTTTGCCGTTTGCCCTCCTCGATCCCAGTCTCCAGGAACCTTTTGATAATGTCATATGCTATAACGAAGCAAAATCCAATATTGCAATGCATCGCAGCCGCGCAGGCAAAGATGCACACATGGACCACACAGCATGCGACAGCGCAACACAGCACCCCCTCTGCACAGGAAGGAGGACCGGTTGTTTATTCATGCATGCGCTGCAGCCCGCCTTACAGAAAACGTCCGGGACTAATGGATGAACTTGAAGAATTTATAACTCATCCGCCCAAAATGCCCAGTCACAAAGCTACGCTGCGGGGCAGGGAGGGGCGGGGCGAGTGAGCATTATGCTGCTCTCATCTCTTCTGCCTGCCTGCCTTAATCATGGGAATAAACAGCAAGAAGAAATATATATGTTATTGGACTGGTGGTGATGCTGGTGATGCCGGTGGTGGCGATGGGTTGCTGTTGGCAGTGGTGGTGATGGGCTTTCCTTCCGTCGGCGTGTGTCTCAGAGCATACTTCTCTCTGGCACACTCATTGCGTCCCCAGGCAAACTCGACCCACCTGCCTGTACCAACATATACAACATCTGCGTACATGGGCCTACGTGCTACGTTTCCCTGCCTACACGCCTCCGCGACGGAGTTTCTTCATGTATGTATGTACGGTTGCATGCGTTGGATTCAAGGTTCGCACATTCAGTTTTCCATCTTTCTCTCCTCCTCCTCCTCGGTCGTATTCCCAGTCAGCAACACGCAAGAACCGCATTCCTTGCCTGAACCCCCAGCAGATCCACTCGAAAAAACATCCTCGAAAAAACCCAGTTAACTGCCCTACAGTCTCTCAGTCTGGCCGCAAGATCTTCCAGCACATCAACACGAGAAACCGGAACCGGTGTGCACACGTACTGCCTCGTGTACCACCTCCTCACGCCTGCCTGTCGTGTCTGTGTGACCCTTCGCGCGTCCCTTTGCGCACGAGTGCGCCGCCCTCTGCATCCTCACGCCCACACCGCCAGCAGGCACATGGAGGCGGCTCCCAGGCAAAACGCCAAGAACGAAGGTCCGCGGATGTGGCCGCCAACTCGGCCGCCACCATCAACTGCTAAATGGCCACCACCGTGGAAATGGTGTCCCTTACCCCCATGGCTGCAAGGCAGCGCTGATCCACGAGGTTCCCCCGTTCCAAGGTCAGGGGGAGCTGCCGCCGTGATGGCGGCCGAGACGGGGGAGGCGGCTTCACCGCCGCCATCCGCATCGGTAGCCGCGGCCGGCGGTGGGCCCAGCAAGTACTTGCCCATGTCCTCCGCGACTAGCTGTACGAGAGAAATGTACAACAACATGCCCCCGGATACGCCGTTGAGGCAGCCCTGGGCGGCACGCGCGTGGATGCTGGACGGGTCGTATGACGCTGCGATGGCGATGCCTGTACATGTACGGCGGAAAAGAGAGATGGAGGACGACAGCACCCGCTACGGGACGTCATGAAGGGCGGATGACGGAATTTCATGTGTGGCGGGGCTCTGGTTCGTAAATGTTGCGGAACCCTTTAATCAAAGGTAATGTGCGGAAAGGCAAAGGCAGAGCGGGGACCGAGTTATATACAGACAAAACCAGGTTTTATCAGGTTTTACCTGGTTTACGCATGTCGCATGTCACACAGACCTATACACACGCCATGCCCCCTACCTGACCCGAATCGCATATCCACCTCCTCTCTCAACCCAGTCCTCTTGCACACTCACCCTCATATGATCCACCCCCCCGCCCCCACTCCCACCAGCAGCACACAGGACAAAGTCCCCCGCCGAAGCGCTCCCCCCGAGCCCCTGCCCCCACCTATCGCCACCCCCAGTGGACACGTCACGCTGTACGTGGCCACCATGACTGCCGCCCTGGTCCGCGAGAAGTCCCCTCCGTTGATGACGCTGGCCAAACTGAGTCCCTCCAGGGCTTGGTGGAAAGTGAGCGCTATTAGCAGGGCTCGAACCTGGGACGAATGCACACACAGGCAGGCAGGCTCGGGAATTAAAATAGAATAATCCTCAATGACTCGCAAATTTATGCAATGAAAAAGCAGAAGCGTAACTTCATATAGTCAAATTACAATATTGGAAAACGCGTGGAGCTTTGTTCATCAGGCCCCTGAAGAATCCCTTACCTGCGACTTGCTCGTCCGGTTCACTCCAAGCGATAGCCCAATGATGAACGAGTGGAAGATGCAACCCAACCTGCTCCGAAACCAACAGCCGACAGACGGGCACAAGTAATGCAGACGGGTACAGTATGTATGCAAATGGCCCAGAAGCCACCCACTCTGTGACAATCAATTAATCAAGCAGCGATCACGACAGGTTGAGGAAGGACCACCAACAATGACGTCAGCAGGTCCACCCCCCCCCTATCATGCTCCTCTCCCCCAACCCCAACCGCATTCACATCCACATGACTGGCTCTACACAAGCACACAAGCACTCTCCATCGCGAATACACCCTCCCCACCCCCAAAAACCGATGAATCAAACCAACCAGCATAACGCGCACGCACACACACACACGCACGCACTCGAACAGGTACGCCACGACGCGTCGTCTCAGTGGGGAGGAGCTGGTTTCGGAGCTGATGGCCTCCACCGCTGAAACCCAGTTTGTGGCGGAGGCGCGAGACACGCAGTCATGGCAATGGTCCGCAGAGGCCTCCCGGAGGACCAAGTTTGTGCGGGATGATAAAGGGGAACTGATCGCAGCCATGGTGGCGGCCTCGC